GTTGCGTTAAACAACAAAGCTGGAAAAACTGTTGCAACTGCATTGGGAAGTGTGATTGAAGAAAGTGGTCGTATACCACGCAACATTCAAAGCGATCTCGGTACAGACTTTTACAATAAAGAGGTTAAATCACTAATGAAAAAACATGGCATCAACCACTATAGTACATTCAGCCCTTTAAAAGCTAGTATTGTTGAAAGAGTTAACAAAACGATAAAAAACTGGATGTATAAAGAATTCAGTGTACAGGGTAACTACAAGTGGGTAGAATTACTCCCTCAATTAATTAAGAAGTACAATTTCAGGGTGCACAGATCGATAGGCATGAAACCAAAAGATGTCACCAAGCAAAATGAACAGATTTTGGTAAGGAAGTTAAATATGCACAAGGCTAGTAGTGTCGCCAAGTTTAAAGTAAACGACAAGGTCAGGATCTCAAAATATAAAACATTGTTTGAAAAGGGCTACACTCCCAATTGGAGTACAGAGCTTTTTAAAGTTGTTCGTGTACGCCAATCGTCTCCCCCTGTATACTACTTACAAGATGAAGAAGGCAACGATATAAAAGGAGCGTTTTACGAGCCTGAACTACAAAAAACTAACTATCCCAACACATTTCTAGTTGAAAAAGTACTTAGACGTAAAGGAAACAGAATATATGTCAAGTGGTTGGGACTTCCATCTCGGTACAACTCTTGGGCACAGTAAACAATCCCAACACAAGTAGAAAAAACCTTTATCTCCTGGTTTACAATCAAATAACTTGGCTTTTCTTTCATACTTGTGGGCTTAAATAGACTTTCAACCTATGTTTTTGACCATTCTGAATTAGATCCTCTTAAGACAAACATATATTGTTCAAGCTATGATCAGAAGACACATTATAGACAAGTTTGGACATGCTTTGTATCAAGAACAGAAGCGTCACTTATCTGATGATGATGATGAAGAAGCATATGAGACTAGTGAAGATGGAACCAAGAGGTTTAGAGCTGCAGTGGATCCTGATGTATCACGACAAAAGGTGTCTAAAGGTTATTTAAATCGATTCTATGTGAACAAAGGTGACTTGAAAGAGGTAGAAGAAAAGTTAAAGACCTTTGCCCTTAGCCTTGAAGAGGTCCAGGAATCAGTCAAGGATGTAAGAAAATCGATAGAGTCCTTAGAGAGTACTATTAGAGTCGACCTAAACAACATAAAAGAGAAACAGTTATCCTATCACGATAGACTCAATAATCTACAAGTATCAGATGGGGAATCGTCTAAATTAATTGCAACCTTGGATGAAAAGCTCAAAAATCTACAAGAATCGGACGAGAAAACATCTACATCTTTAGTATCTTTTGATAAAAAGCTTAAGACGTTGCATGACTCAAATGAGAAAACATCTATATCTTTAGTATCTTTGGATGAAAAGATCAAAAATCTACAACAATCAGACGAGAAAACGTCTAAATCTTTAGAAACTTTATATAAAAAAGATAAAAAGTTGCATGACTCAAATGATAAAGCATCTAAATCTTTAGTATCTTTGGATAATAAGCTTAAGAAACTGCAAGAATCAGATGGGAAAACATCTAAATTGTTGGCATCCTTAGACGAAAAGATAAAGGAGTTGCAAAAATCAGATGCTAATACATCAAAATTATTAGCAACTCTTGATGAAAGAGTAAACACGATAGATGAATCAGATGTCAAAACCCTAAAATCATTAGCATCTGTAGATCAAAAGCTCTCTGTATTACTTGCAACTAGTGGTTTAAAGTCTTAGTGGATTTGGGCTCATATTGTAGAGGAGAATACACGTTTTGCATACATGTCTGTAATAATCACGCTGCTAACTTATCTATGTTGTGTGGGAACAAGTGGCAGGAAATTTTAAAGTGATTGTACAAATGCAATCAATTCTGTGAAAATAATTGAGAAGAAGGACCTTGAAACACACAAAGAACATCCTACAACCGGTTATTGACCACAGGCGTGCACGTAGACCTTGGCAATTATGGTTTCATTCTTTTTAAAACAAGAAAATAAGTATAGCCTTGAAGCAGTGTATAAAACACAAAATCCTCTCGGTCTCTACAGTCAGTATGGACAGAGCGACTAAACGATCTGCACCGGTGCCGCGTAAAGACCTTTCACGTGTGAAACGTCGACGTGCTCGGGTTCCGTCTCCTGTCATCTATCCGGACGTTAACACCATGGACATTGATCATCTGCTTGCCACACTAACTGGGGAAACACTGCAAGAGACACCTGGAGCTATAAATGCGACACAAGTGAACTACTATACCTACGATCACACTTTGCACGAAGAAGGAGAGGAGGAGAAGTACCAGCCAGAACATGTTTCTGCAACTCAATCAGCTGCATTACCTTCCACTTCAGGGATATCCCAAGTAAAGCAGAGACAATCAAGCCAACTAGTCAATCCACAGGCATCAGCAGTTTTGTCGTCTCAACAACAGCAGACGTTGTCTCCGCTAGCACCACCACCTCCGCCGCCGCCGCCGCAGTGTTCTCAAGATGAACGTGAAAATCGACAGTGCAACACCTGGGAGCCACGACTCTTGCTCAGACAGATTTATAAAGTTGTTACACAAGCAGATGCTGTTGTAGGCCTAGATTCACTCAGTGACTTTAAACCTTCTATTTATTTTGTGAACAACACGACTTCAATTTTGGTATCATTTGAGGATTTATTGAGTTTGCAAAGTGCCAGCGTTACAAGTGCTGTAAGTAAGTTCTTCAATGATAAAACACTATTCAAACCTTTATTTCTGCATACACTTGTGGTAGAGCCAAGACCTAATGGCTTCATCGCTATCTGTAACTATCAACTCAGGCAAAAACCTCTTAATTACAATATCAATTCAGTAATACTGTCGAGACCAACTGATGAGTCTGACATTGTTCGACAATCTCCCAAACTACTTTTACACAGTGTATCGTGGAAAGCCCTCAAACGATTGTTTCCTTCTCTCGAGAGTTACCATAATGTTCTAGTAGAAATAAGCCCTGCAGTACAGTTTTTGATTTCACGTTACACCCGATACTTTTCAAAACACTATAAGGCTATGACTTTGCTTTCTACAAACACTCCAACTGATTTAAGCTCAATGACACTGGACAAACAGCTAGTTCGGCATATAAAAACCGACTTGCCCAGACTTCTTCAAGATTTGAACGATAGAAGGCTCCCACCAGAAACCCAAGACCATTGGTATGAACACACACCTGTGCGAACTTCGTTAATGCCCTGGGTCGACTCTGAAGTTAGACGTTTTTGTGTCTCAAACATAACTGAATCTGTTTTGAACAATTTGAAGTATGTAGCTAAATGGTAATTATGTATTGTTGTTCAATAAAATTTAACTCTTGTAAATAAATTCACGTATGACTTTATTTCCCTTTGCATTAACAATAGAAATCACATCAAGGTTAAAAGGCTTAATAAAAGAGCAAACCTGTATAGACAAAAATAAAGGTTTTATTCACAATAAAACACATATACCATTGATAATAATACAATCAATACATATAACCCTTTCAGTGAACAAAGTAGAATATCTGTAAAATTTCTATTTACATTAAATTTTAAAGAGGGGAAAAAAAAATTATTGTTTTACAATTTACTTTCTAACTACAAAAGAATGTATAGCATATACATAAATCATCAGTTTTAACAGAATTAGATTTAGCAATAATGCATTCAACCTACTAAACATACAGTAAAATGAAACAAGTAGTTTATTTAAAGTATAAAAATATGACAATAATTGACATAAGATATAAATAATCACAAGTTTGTATACATTTTATTTGTATTATGAGAGGGGGGAAGTGTTATTAAATTGCTTCATTCTAGAAAGAAGTAATCAATACATTCTATTGGAGTTAAGACATAATCTAAAGGATTTAAACATTATATTAAATTACTTCTTCGCTTGTAAGAAGTAATCAATAAATTTGGGAAAAGAAAAAAAATAGTTATTAAATTGCTTCTTTGCTAGAAAGAAAGAAGTAATAAACTTTATTAGAATAAAATCGTAATATAAAGATTTAAACATTATATTGAATTGCTTCTTCGCTAGTAAGAAGTAATTAATAAGTTTGTAAAAAGTGCATGTTTTATTAATATTGTAAAACACAATGACAGTTCACCAGCTCGTTTCCAATCTGTGCACATATATAGAAAAACTTTAAGGTAACATAATTTAAGTATCAAGCATGAATTACAAAAGATACGTTAAAATCTAAAAGGGTCATATAATTCTATTACATTGTGGGATATATCACTAACTGATAGCGAATCACTATCACTGCTATTGTCTAAGTCATGGTCATGTGTTAATTGCTTACACATGTTGAGGTCTAGGTATTGAAAAAGAGGGCGAAAGCAACACAAATCACACCAGTGTGACTGGTGTTTAACTACGATTGATAGAAATCTACTGGCACTAACTTCAAAATGTCTTGATATATTATAAAACTTCCAATTTCTTTCCATCCAATAGGCTTTGTAGTCAAAATCTAGATACTCATGAGGTTCTGACGGAATGGCAACTTTTTCAAAACATTGCTGACAAAGAACAAATGTATTCTTATATGAATGGTTGCCATAACTAAATTCATAGTAGTTAAAACTAATATGAAGTGTTTCCATTTCAAATGGTAAAAATTCTGGACAGTATCCAGGGTGATTGATTAACATCAGAAAGCTATTTTTATCCAATGAGTATATATCAAGAAACTCGTATGAATACATGTTTGGGCTAACAGGAGGGCGTGTCTCTGTAAACAAAACTTGTTTTAAGGCCTTTTGGGCATCTCTTTTAATACTCACTGGCAGTAGGGAAAAAACATCAATTGAATCGATAGTAAGGTATTCTATTGTATCATTTACATGTTTACTGAACACCATCACTGACTTTTCATATAAAGTAGCCATTTTATCTCAAGAGAAATAAAAACTAAGTTAAACTGATAGTGACTGTGCTTTAATCTATGATCCCCTTATTTTGCGATGAGCTTGACCTCCGATGCTCGCTGTCTGAAAGCTGTTTTATCCTAAAATGTCCATGTGCAAGTGTAGAGTATCCATCGTCCAAAATATATCTCTTGTCATCATGAAACGAAAGAGATCTCTTTGAAACATGTTGTGAAGTCAACTGAAATGATTTACTTCTGATTAAGTTGAAATCAGCAGTGTACTGCGTTTTGTTAAAGAGGGCATCCTTGTAATGTTCAAACCGCATAACCTTCTCTACAAATGAATTTTTGATCCCCTTAGCCTTTTTTACTTCGCTTGTGTCTTTGTTGGGCGGTGTAGAAAGAGACGAATAACGTTGGCAGTACATCTTGCTTTTAAGTCCTACATGCTCATAGAGCACCTTTCCTGCAGTTTCGTCCTTAAACTTTCCTGCAACCTGTTTGTTTTTGTCACTCCTTAGTGGATGGTCGTGTGGGAGGTTTGAGAGATCCAAGTGTTCATCCGCTATAATCTTGAGAACTTCATATACATTATCTGGACCTTTAATCCATGCCACCAAAGAATCTGTATCAGTATATATTAAAGTGATTGTGTACTTGGGAGGTTGAAATAGCGTTGAGAGTACGTCGTACCAAAACCAATACATTTTGAGTTTGGATAAATCTAGAGTCACACTTCCTACGAATAGGGGTTTATCAAGTAGGATAACATCTTTTCTGAGATAAACCAAGACAATCCCATCTTTATCCCCCTCTCGGATAATAGTTCGATCCACAAACCGTGGTTGTCTGGCATACTTTTCAAGAGCTTCTTTTGTTGTCACTACACGTACATCCATATGCCGTCTGTTGTTCTGAAGAGATTTCCCAAAGGTCGCATTATTAAGTAATTTAAAAAAGTCTTTTGAAAATTTGTTTGTTGCTTCACTGCGAAGTTTCGAATTAAATTCAATATACTTTTCCATCCACGGTGATTGGCTAAATTTCAATGCTCGGTGTACTTTTGTAACACGACAACCAAGTTTTTGAGCCTGTTTGATCAAAGTATAATGAGCAATATAATGCTCCTTTTTGTAAAGTGTTGCTATGAGCTTTTCTACTTTACTTCCAGGAGGTTTTGCACGTTCAGGTAGAGGGGGAAGATCATTCAATTTATCATGGATACTGTCTGGAACTTCCACATCACATTCAAGAATATAACCAGTAGGAGCATCAGATGGGAGGTTGGACCAATTTAGACTATCTGGGTTTTCAACCCATTGAAAGTTTCCAACAGGGAGGGGTTGTTTTAATGCATATCCGTATAAGTTGACAGCATCTAAATAAAGCAACCACGCCTTCTCCTTATTAGGGTCATAATCAGCGGGATGTGCGAGGAACTCGTTATTAGCCTGCGCCCAGCGCCTACTAGATTGTACGAGCCCCCCTCTTATTGACTCCTCTATCATTAAAACCATATCAATATCTGTCATCAGTTCTATATCAATAGCAGTGTGTTTCAGCATGGCTTGCCACGTTAGTGAGGGGGCAGTAAAAAAGTGATTGATGTCCAATTGATAGTGTTTATAACATATATCACGAAACGAGTTAATAACATCACTAAGAAGACATGTGTCCAGTGTTAAATAGAAATCGTGGTATTCCCCAAAGTTCTTGAATTTCATTGTGTTCCATACGGTTTCGGCGTGTCGATAGTTCTCATCACTGACCTCCGTATCATTAAGCTTGTTTGCAAACGCCGATCTAGGTGGTAGACTAGTCTCTTCGAATACCGCATCTGATGTTATGTAATCGTAAGGATACGTTCCTTTCTTGGTAACTAGGTGAATGTTCTCTGGTGATACTAATTTTGCACTTTGTATCAGTTGTTCACGGGGCAGGTTCGACGACAGTTCATCCAAGCTTGCCGACATCATACGGTAAGAGTCAACAAAGCGAATCCAGATATCGCCCACTTTGACTAGAATCGCAATCATCTTTTCTTTATTTGAAGGAATTAAGCGAATGTCGTTTGTTTTCAGAACACTTAAATTACACATTATAAAAGACTGATCATAATTTGAAAGGTTGTGGATCCATACCGGAATGAAGTTTGGGGTTTTGCATCTGAGGTTGCAATTACTACACAGCGTATGTCTAAATTTGGATATAAAATGATCATGATCAGCGCATTTTACTATATCGGTGTCGTTAAACTGTCTACTACAGAACTCACACTCTGTAGCTTCATCATGACGTTTACGTTCCTCTTCTGTCATTACTATAGGGTTTTCACATGAGTACACTTTAGAAATTTTCTCGGCCACTTCTTTTAGATGTAATAAAAATTTAGCTCCTGCATTTGGTCCACGATAGGTAAAAGGCTCTAAAGATATGCCATACTCGTCCAAAAGATGACTATCGTATGTAGATGAAATAACAGTCGAAAAACTATTAGCTTCATGTTTTTGATAAATCTTTCCATCGTAATCTTCATCTGTGGTGGTTACTGGATTTAAGCTAGCTTCAAAATCCGCACAAATATGAAAACCTATCTTTATCATTGTCTCTACTTGTTGAAATCTTAAAATGTTGTTTCCAGGTGATGGTAAGTTAATCTTTGTGGGTTTGTGTTTACCACAAAGTGTCAAGTGTTCGTCTAACCATGCACGTGCGCTCGGTTTGCAACTTCTAGCCTCTTTATACTGGCTACACCTTTTACATACAACAATTTTGTTTGAACCTTTAGCTATTTGTTTGTGGATTAACTTAACAAAGTCAGCTATGTATATGTAATGATTGGTGTTGTTTTTCCCCTTGAGAAGTAGTAGATCAATGTGATCAGTCAGCTCATCTACAACCCTTAGAGGACCTATCTTGTTTTCGCTATTACATTCAAAGACATTAATGGATACATTCGGATTTAGCCTTTCAAAGTGTTTGATTTGCTTTGTTGACACTGGGAATGATAACCCATCAAAATTGTATATATGCATGTATTCAGAAAACGAATTTTCTGTAAGTATGGAATTTGGATGGACGTTTGGAATGTGTTTAGTTAGAACGGCATACGCGAAACATTTTGCGTCTGCATTCTGAACATTAATACAGGCTTTACGTTTTTCAAGGTTTTTAGGCAACGGTACATAGCTAGAACCACTAGGCTGCTTATAAGTAAACTTACTTACACGTAAGGTTAACCACTTGACGTTCAAGAATATCCATCCGCTTTTTTCTGCACTGGATTCATCTTCTTCCTGGAGGAGTTTGAGTCCGTCATTGTGGAGCTGGTCGTCCAAGTCGTCACTCTCAGCAAACAGCATCCGGGAGCGGGTCTTGAAGTTCCTGGTAGCGGTCGTTGCATCTTCAGGGTGTTCGTATCGAGCCTCCAGTACAAGATTATATTTCAAAGATCTTGATAATTCCATTTCTGTAGTTAATATTGATTTAACTGTTTCCAGAGCTGATTCTACAAACTGTGGTAGATCAATGATTGGAGCATCTTCGCTGCTTATCTTATAGTCACGCGCTGAGTGAAGAGCTTTTTTTAACTCGTATTTGAGGTTGATCGAATGAGAAGGTGCAGCAGAGTCGTCAATCGGCTCACTGGCAGAATTCACTTCATCAGACGTAGAGGGTTGATGAAGATCTCGTGGTCGAGTGGTCGATGTAGTGGCTTTGTGAAGTTTTCTAAGCTTGTCAGCTATCGAAGTCATCTCTTCTATATGTCCTCTTTTCATAGTTTTCTTGCTACTGTCACTGCTAGCAGCTGCGTCACAATAGCTTGATGTCGTTGGGTCCAAGGTAGATGGTGCAGAGTAGTTCCTGGTCGACACACCGCCACCCTCTCGGTGTCGAAGCTCGTCGAAACAGCGTTCGGGGACGGTATGGTGCAGCGGGTCGGCTGTTCTGGAAGTAGCTCTAGCATCAAAGCGAGTTGATTGTTGTTCAGCATCTCGAAGGTGGGTGTCTGGGCTGATGTTGGGCTGTATGTAGAGATTAGCGAGTACCAGGCAGAGTTGCTGGTGTCTGTCCCGAGCAGCGCTTGTCAGGAAGAAGGCCTCGCGGCAGACAGGACACAGGTACATAGTCCATGCACACAGGCTGGAAGCGAGCTGGTGAACTGTGCCAAACAACTGAAAACCCTCTGCTTATAAAGGATTTACTCGTGGGGGAAAGGTGGTACGGTATAAATATGGGCTGTGTTAGCAAGGGAGTTTCACTGTTTGCCCACACTTCACTGAGTGATCAGTTCATCCTACACACCATCTACTACAGTAAGTAATTCTATTTTAAAATAATTTTAAAGCTTTATGTTTGACTTTTCTTTCAGATAGAAGGACGAGTTTTTCGGAGATGGAATTATTTTTTACAATATACAGCTTCTTGTTTTCTTTTCTTTTAGTTTCTAAGATAACTTACTTTATTGTGATTATAATATTATGTGCTAGGATTGTGAGTTTACATTTTACTTGGGATAACTAGCTATAATAGCATCACTAACTATTAACCTTTTAATCATAGTCCACTATGTTTTGAGAATAGTCAAAGGTAATAGACATTTATAACCACCATAGAGCTAGATTATAGGATTTTATTTGTACATGGATAGTAATTTTAAGCATAAGCATGGACGAGTTACACATTCAACTTTCTAGATAGTACTGTATGATAACTCAAATCAAATACTATACCTTGGATGCTTGTATTGATGTACTGTACATTTTATCACACATATATGCTTTTGATTTTATATATGTCATAAATCTTAATATGAGCATCTACGTCTGTTTTTATTAGTTTTTATTTATCTATACTGGTCATTAATAGTTGATGCTAATATTTCCAGTATGACTTTATACGTCTAAGGCATCGAACTAATCTATATCATAGTTCTTAGTTTAATAAATGTATTATACTTTGCTTTTATTTTCATGCTTAAACATGCTTTTTCTCTTGAAATTTTTAATAATAAGCACATGAGTACCGGTAGTAGATTATTATTGGTTTGATTTTACATGAGTAAAAAAACTTACTTGGTACTTCTTTTAAGCACTTGAGTTCTATTAATAGACTGATTCAAGTGAATTTTGTCTAATATTAGGTACAATACATTTGTAACTAGCGTTGATATAAATTTTGTATTTTATTTTCAGGGCTATATGCATGGATTGTTCACTATTCTTGTGTGTTTTGTCTTTGCTTACAAAGATATACTATTAGGAAACTTAGATCTAATGCTTGTTTTGTCTACTCTTGTATTAAGCTGTATTTTAACTGAAGGTTTTATCATTTATCAAAGTAAATTTGATGGTACATTTATAGATGACTATAGTTTGCTTTCTGCTTTCATTCTTTATATATATTGTGTTTTAATATTTGTTCGGTTTTCTAATTTCAGCTAAAGGTTTAAGGTTTGTAAATATTAAGTTTTGGATTGTGGTCAGGTTTTATTGTACTGGTGATAATACAGTAGAACTTATTATCTGTTTAAGTATGTATAGATCTGGCTTTAGATATAAACGGTTTGTATTTTTTTTTCAGTAACTATGGCTTCACTCAGCAGCAAGTTGTTGTCACTACAACAGGTCCCCTCTCTACCAGTGTTATCGACAAAGGAGTTAAAGCACGAGGATGGATATGCCATCGTAGACACTAGAAGAGTGGAAACCCGTTTCGGCATTTCTGTCGTATGCGAGTTGGTAATGCCCGACCAAAGTCGGGCCATTACATACTTACCGTCTAGATTCCACCAGGAGCTGTCGGACGAGGATCTGGCAGAACTTAAAAACGGCTATAGATTGAGAGCGACAGGGATGAGTGGGAGGGCAGTGGATTTGTTAATTTATAAGAAGAAATAAGATAAATAAAACATTCTTTTACCGACAGAAAGTAATGGTTTTTTTTCCCCCCTAAGTTTATTGTCACAAACCATGAATCAACCAGCTATTAGATAAGTACTAGTATCTAATACCACTATTTATTTACATTTATAGTTAAGATGTGAATATTAGGAATGGTCAGCAATAACCTTCAACGCTTGCAATTTTAGTGATATATGTTATTACCTGGTCCTGAATAATGTCCATGAATTGCAGTTCCTGATGCAAGTTGTTCCGTAATACCCCCGAAAAACAGCTTTCACATTTTAGAAGGGAAAGAGTTGTGCATTGCACTGGTTGCTGTTGCATAAAGGAGTTTACAGCATCTTGTTGCATAAAAGGTTTCCAATTACTCGGTTTCGTTATCACAAAATAAGCTTATAATAGGATCTAAAATTGGTTCTCTAGAACATATTTAGCTAGAGGTTAAATCAAGAAAACACATCTTTCTTGGTTAATATTTAAGTTTAAGTAACCTCATAATATGTTAAGTTTGCTTTAAGTACATTTTATAATTCTATGATTGTTTTATAATTCTATGATTGTTTTATAATTCTATGATTGTTTTATATTGGCTTTTACTTCAACTGTGTTTAAACGTTGAGATACATTTTTTCTGCAATATAGAGCTTATATGTAGTTAAGGTAACCATAAAGATTCGCAAATAACATCAAGGCTTCAGCAAAGACCCCTATCATTCTTCCCAGTAACATTTTCAATTCACTTTCATTATAAACACAAGCCGACCCACTCATATGATTACTTGATCAGTGCATCATGTAATTTACTTTCATCTAACCAGCTCAATGGCATAATAGAGGCTCAGAGTAACCGGATTGAGCGAAGACTACTGAACCGGTCCTTGGCCACCGAGCCGCATCACGTGATATAACCAGGATGCCTCGTTGGGCAGGTCAGTTCTACAGCGCAAGGGATCACGTGATATTGTCAGGGTACCTCACCTAGCAAACCTTATTTGCAATTGTTACTTCTTAAGGGGTCATGTGATAACACCAGGATCTGTACTCTACTGTAGTTTTAAGATATTGGTAGTTTTATCAGTTAAGTTCAAGATACTGTATCGCTTAATCAGAAAATATAAATTTGATTATAT